GGGTTCTCGCACTTCGTCAGGAAGGTGAAGTACTCGTCACAATCTTCTCGATCTCGAACAGGCCACACTGGGTGCCGACGTCCGACTCCTGGAGATCGTCCACGCGGTTGACAATGGTGGCGCCGGTCGCGCGAGCTATCCGGTTGTTGTCCGTCTTGCGCACTCGCCGCAGGGCGTAACGTTGGCCTTGACGAGGTAGTGCTGTGCCAGGTCCGAGACCCCCTTCTCAGTGATGACGAGGTCAGGCTTGAGCGCCAAAATCGAGTCGCACATGGCCTTGACCTGCTCCTCCTCAATCTGCAAGATACGGTTCCAGTCCTCCTCCTTGGAGATCTCAATGTTCGTTTGCGACTCGCCCTTCTTGTACTCGAGCGGGCAGTCGAGCAGCACGATCCTCGGGTTCTCTATTCTCCTGCGCATCTTGGGGTGCGTAATATCCTTGTTGACCATGACGCCGTCCAGCACCCTGCTGTCCTCAATCTCGCCACCAGGGACCTTCTCGATACGGGCGTAGCGCTTAATGTCGACCTCCTTGTTGCCATTGCCAGGCTCCCAAGTGACGGTGCGAACGGCCTTCAAGGCGAGCTCGCACATAAGGTCGGACCACCGGGACACAAACTTGGTACCGATGGAGGAGGAGATGAGGCTGTACATGGCCTTGTCGTCGGTGGTGTCGATGGGGGTGGAAATCTCCTCGACAATCTCAAGGGCGTCCTTCAACGCACGTTTGAAGGCGGCAATAATCTGGACGGGGTGGATGTTGCGCTCGAGCTGGGGTAGGGACTGGGCGAGCATCTCGCCGGCTATGAATAGGTCAGCGTTGACCTTCGAATAGGGTGAGACCTCACATTGGACGTACCCAGAATGATGACGGTCGTGGTACCGTCACCGACCTCCTCGTCTTGCGTTCGGCTGAGTTCAATCATGCTCTTGGCTGCCGGGTGAGACACCTCGATCTCTCTGAGGATTGCGTGACCATCGTTAGTCAGGACAATACCGCCCATGGGATCCAGCAACATCTTCAACATGGCCTTGGGGCCCAGGCAGGAACGGATAATATCGGCGACGCTGTGGAGGTCAGATTTGTCGGGCGCTAGGGTGATCGAAGGATGGACACGTACGTCTTGGCGGCAGCGATGTTGGACATCTGAGCCTTGCGACCCGTCTGTCGCTCACCACTGTTGGTGTCTGTCGGGTGGTCAGCACTTAGCATCCAGGGGGGGGGGGGAGCTTCAGGAGCTCGGTGATGGAGGGGCGCGGACGTACTCATTACCACCACGGGGGCTTGCATGATGGGCAACGGTTTATGTTTTCAACCGCGAGAGTGAAATGTCGTATTTGCAAGCTTCGGGAATCAGTGGCTTCTGGTAGACTGAATTAGACGTCACGTCGTTGGCAGCGGGGTGTGGTCGTCGTGGGTACAGGCACCGGGCTTCTAAAAAGTTCGTGCCCGTGAATGGAGATTTTGGCGGGATGAGCTGGCCTCGGCGGAACAATTTCGCGGTAGTACCTTCCAGACATTCGGGGTTTACCCACACCGAATCGACCACTTGTACACCGAACGTGAAAGATCTTGATTATGTAATCAATCAACATCTTCTAACTTCACTTCACCGGGCTTCAGCAACTGGTCTAACCTGGTCCACCGTATCTTTATGCTGGTTGTTCAAAGATGTCTGGAAGCACTCGCCTCTCCCTATAGAAGGTATCAATACGGCGATTCTAGCAATCATTGTTGTCGCTCTCCTGCGGGGACAGCCAGGCGCAAGGCCTACAGCTTACGAACCTGAGCTAGCACCCACCCCAGGAATCCAGAGCCAGAAGAATATGCAGCCTCAGCAAATCCATGAATGCTTGCGTCATCATGGACGTTCCCGTCATGTCTTCTTGGGTCGACCTGGCCTTTTTTTGTAGTCTGAGCATAAAGCCGGGGGTGGCGGCAACATCTTCGTCTTCGTTCCCGCCACCATTGCCCAAGGGGCTTCAATTTCCATATCGACAACGCAGTATCCCATCGCCATGTAGTGCTGCACTTGCGCCCAAATTTTCCTGTCCGATGCCGCTGAATCATCGAAACGTTTCCAGAAAAGCTCTGTTGCCTTGTTCCCCTCTTCCTCGCGCAGTCCGGGGATATTGGCCGCATGAAAGAAGTCGTCCTTCGTGTTCGACTGTGCTGGGAGCGGCGCCTGTCGCGATATGAGGAACAGTGGTACACCATCTCGGCAGAATTTCAGTCGAAGGCTCTTTTCCCTGGCAGCCTGACCTACCTCGGGAATGGGCATTGTCGACACTTTGTCTCGCGGTGCGGCGATGCGCAGCTCTGTCGTGGGCATTGGGTCTAATTCTCTGGGGGCTGCGCCGCGCACTTCGGCCAGGTTCATTCTGATCTCAATGATGATCCAAGGAATGGCATCACTGCTAAGTGTTAGTTCTGCGTTTTGATAAGGTGTATCTGCAATCGAAAGCGAGGGGTACCCACATCTCCACCTCGATGACTTTGATTCCACCTCGGCAACCTGGTCGCAGGACGATTTCAGACACCATTCGGAGGTTCTGATCACATACCTCAGACCCAAGTTCCTTTCCGAATTTCTTAAGAGACTCGATGCTCTTGGGAATGCGAAAATTGATCCACTCGACGTCTAGGAAGTGGTATCCAAAACTCTTCGAACTTGCAAGCAGCGCGCGGAAACCCGTGCCACGTTGTCGTCCCAGTTTCAAGGTCCGTTCAATGTCCATCAGGCCATCTAGGGCGCGCCCCTCTGAGGGTTGGCCGGGCACGCGGTGGATTTGGCTGTTCCTTGCGCCGGACGCCGCCTGCGCGCGCTTGGAGGCCGCAGCACTGTCAAGGTAAGAACAAGATCAGCTGCACATCATTGACAGGATGATTGAGTAACGTACATAAAAGGCGCGCGCTTACACAGATTCTTGACGAGAATTTGTGCTCCTACTGTCGGATTCGTGTCAGGAAACGGGTTCGCAAAGCTGTACCCACCAAACGGCTGGGTCTGTAGCTCGTCCGGGGCCAGCTTGACTTCCTCAGCGGCCCGATTTGTTTCGAATGTAGGTTCAATGTTTAGCGCTCGATCTGTAGGGCCAAAGCCGCCCATAGTGAAAGCGCAGTTGAGTTGTTCAGAATTGCAGGTCGAGATAGAAGGTCTCTGCCTGTTTAACCGCGCAAACTCCAGTCTCTTCTCTCCTCCGATAAGTATCCCAAGCTGTACCTTCTGCTTGATCGACATGGTGTCTTTGTAGCCAGTTGTGGTTGCCAACTTGGCAGCTGCGTCCTGGAGCTCTTTCTGGCTAGATGTCCGGCGGCTGGCCTTAGACACATCTGCCAGGTCAACAGAGGGAAGTTTCAGAAGGGGACAAACCTACTGTGTTGCGATTTGGGAGGGAAGAGGTCCTGACCCTTCTCGTTCCTCGTCGCAGAATCTGAACAGTATCAGCAAGTCACTCAACGTCGGCGCAATGGATGAGAGACGGAACTCACATGAGCTACGGCCTCCTTCATCTCTGTCAGAAACACTGTCACTCCCTACCTCTTTCCCACGAAAGAGTGAGGAGCCTCCAAGCTCTGTGCTACGTCGTTTCCGTGAAGCATTCATCCTGGAAGTTGGCGGATCTTTGCTTGTAATTTCTCGGGATCCTTCTCCGGTCGAGGCGGCAGAGACATGTCTTTTCTTGCGGGCGACGACAGTTTCAGTGCCCGGGGCAGGGTGTCTGGCGGGACGCCGTTTCATCGGCAAAACGTGTGCCATGTGCTCTGCGTCGGGCGACACTTTGGGAAGTAGTTAACCTAGGGTATTGTGGAAGTTATGTGCGGGAGCAGGATAGGCATCATCGAGAGGGTACACTGGCCTTGCCAACAGGTGGGGAAAGGTTGGTAGTTTTATTGATGCCTCGCTTTAGACAAAATACAAGCCGCCCAACCGTTGTGTGAAGCTCTGCGCTTCTGGGCGACTCCACGTTGTTCTCTCCCTGTTATCGAGAATAAGAAACGACGTGAACTAAACATTAGGCAGTCTCTCGCCACTCGCTTCTTGCTGTTGATGCCTGAAGTAGATCGCTTGTGATCCGAATATCTGTATAGGCTGGAGCCGAAATGCATGCTTCCCCAACCGCTCGAGCGTGGTCCACTCACCGGGATATGCAGTGGCATTCGCCGGTTTCCCTCCACCGCTCGGCGCCGGCTGCCTCACCTCAACTTGGCACCCGGACCGGCATCGATGTGTGCCGGAGACCCAGCAGAAAACGACAGCGCTCGTATCAGCCACAGCCATCTTGGAGCAAGTGCGATAGGAATGCCAGCTCCCAAGTGCCCCGCAGAAGCAGCACCTGGGAGGCTCTTCACTCACCAGCCGGAAGGTACTTTTCAGCTGGCAAATGAAGAGGCAAGTTACTCCTACTCAATAATCTCCCATTCTTCCCTTCTACAAAAAATCACATTCGCCTCTTCTACGTACCACCTTACCATCCCATTTTTCGTTTAAATATAACATCCCATTCATATCCTCTATACAACACCCAATTCTTCTCTTCTGCACAACATCTCAGTCGTCAATGGCTTCGATACCCGTCCCGATGACCTCGATACTCGTTTCGACGCCCTTGAGTAAAAGTTTGAGCACAACTTCCAGAGGATCAGGGAAACCTGCAGCCAAGTCCAGTCAAATCGAGCTCAGCTTAGATACAAGCTCCAAGAAGGGGTCAAGCATGGAGCACGCATCGAACACAGCCTTAACACGACGGAAGTTCAGTCCAATACTCTACATCAAAAACTTTACGCAGAATTCTTTCAGAAATACGAACCCAAGCAATCAATAGATCGGCATCATTCGACAAGGCAATCATTTCGTGGCAGCTCCTTCATCCAATTCATTCAAACACCCCTGTATCAAATTCTCCACCCTCGCTGGCTCAACTCATGAGATGTCAGAATTTTGGGTTAAGCAGAGCGAAGAGGTCTTCCGCACGGAAGGTTCGCAGGCAACGGATAGATATGGGGTCAAAACACATCCGAATTCTGGTGCTCGACCATCACTGTTTGGCCCCATCGGTGCTTTCAAGCCCGCCATGAAGTTCTTGGAGGCTCGCGACAAGGACAACAAGACGGTAAGGTTCTCTTTCCTAGTGTTTCCCCCAATTACCTGATCGTGCGATCAGCTGACGGGGGACACAAGACATGGGCAAGTGGCGCCCTGTCGTCAAGGGCATGTTGACTATTGCCGAGGACGAGGAGAAAGAGGAGGTGATGACCCCAATAAAGACCTCGATGGTCTCTGAAATGCTAAGCGCAAGGCGACTGGCTATGCCGCTGCTTTGCGGCTTCTTGATTGCCTCTGGTGGAACTCACTGGAGCAGCCAGGCTCGGAGTCTATGCAACTCTTGTATACGCGTCTCGTAGTCCCTAGCCCCTTGACCAGCCCCCTGCTCCAGGGCTCCGCAGGCGACTTCTGATTCGAGTACATCTAGTAAGTTTCTTTGGCGTACCAATAAACATCGGAAGACACTGACGCTCGATAAAGTATGATTGTAGAGCCACCAGTTCTCCAGCTATCGACGCTCGGAGATATCCAAACGTTTAGGGACCACATACGCCCCCAAACGGCGTGGTAGATCAGTACACTTGGGACACAGCATGCGTAGGACGAGTATTTGGCGGTGCGTAATTAGTTCATGGTAGACTCTGCCATGGCTTTCCTCAATGACAGTATTTCTCTTTCCAGCTTGCTATCGAGAGTTTTGCAAGAGGCCACGAGGGCGCTAGCCGATCACAACTGGCTGTAGGTGTCGGAAGGCGCCTAAGGAGCCATGGAACAGGGGCTGGTTAGGGCTAGGGACTACGAGAAAGCGTGTATGAGTGTTGCGGAGTCCCTCCTTAGCTGAAGAGGGCTAGAATTTAGATGTAATCTAACCCCATAGCTAACATCTAATGTTTGCGGACCTAGTGCGGAAGCCCTCTTCACTCTGCTCAACCTCACGCTCTGACAGCATGCGAGGATCTTGTCGGCCCCGCCCGCTCGCCACCCTTCCCGATGAATAGCGGACGGTAGGTAGAGTCTCCCCTCAACAAAACTTGACCAGACTAGTCAACGCCAGCCCCAGACATCGCGCACGCAGTGCACTAGGAGCTTTCTTGTTCTTGAAGAAAAAGCTATTCCCAGATAGCCGTCACTATGACAGTTGGTGAGACTGGCCCTTTGTTACCCCGGGTCGGAGCTAGGTCGCCCCACTGAACACGTTCATCCGGGTCAGATCCGTGAGCGTTTCCGGCATGAGCACGATCCGCAAGCGTTGAGCCGAACTCTTTGCTATGATGAGTGTGAGCGTATTCACCACCAATACGCGGGCGTTATGGCCATCACGTTGTCGACGTGGAACAACGCTTCGAGCAGTTGCCCTACCTTCATCTGGCTACAGCGACATGTGGCGTGCGCGCCGTCGAACGGTCGAAGCAAGGTCCAACACGAGTACAGTCAAGGGGGGTTGCGATATCAGACACTTTTCTGGCTTCACACCTGAGCGTCGTTATAGGAATTGAAACCATCTGAGTGGCTGGTAACTAACCACACGTCTCCAGAGGCCCTTCCAATCACTGCAGCGTGTTGAGCCTGGCCCCATCACGGCAATGACCAACTGGGCCGCGCGTGCACAAGATCAGATCAGTGACGGATAGGAGGTGGAACCCGTAGGATAGTCACTACATGGCCACGGTGTTCCAGCTTGAACGATGAAGGGCACTTTCACAGGATGGTCCCAAGCCTACATCCCATCATTGAAAGCCCTTCAAGGACGGCACTGCCCCACGCCACAGGAACGCGGCACGTAGCAGCTCGAGCGGTGCGATGCCCTGTGTCCTGTATACTGGCGTTTTGTCGTCAGCTCCCTCTCGCCCTGGGGCGGAGGTGGTGAACTCGGGGGTCGAGGAGCGGGACCGTGGGACCACAAGGAGAAGGACCTGTCTCAGAATGCCGCTGTCTCTCGTCTCTGTGCCGCACCGAGACCAGGGGCGTGGGTTATGAAGCAGAGAGTTCACGGTTCATGGGTTGTACCAGGTAGTTGGACGGTGAGGCTGCTGTACGATTCTACCTTAGTAGCCGCGTAGGACAGATCTTGTCGTTGAGACATGGCGTCAAAGGGGGAATGAAGAGATCTCTTCGCGAGAGGCGGTGGGATTTCCACAGCTGAGATGATCCCGTACAAGGTCTGTCCAGCCCGTAGCAGCCTCGCTTAATCGTCCCGCGTTGCGTTCCTCAGAAAGGCCAAGCAAGCTGGCGAAACATAGTGCTTTGAAGGAGACCGGTGAGCTAGAGAGACAAGTGACAATCTTGTCTACGCCTCTGGCTGGTGACATCTGAGTCAACGGGAAAGAAGAGGGAACACATGGTAACGAGCGGCAGCTCAGACAGAGCTGGGCCCGAAGGTGACAGCTCCGTAGCCCGCTGGACACGGCATGGCTAGCCCGGACCGTGGGAAGTAAACCCGCTGGCCCAGAGCACTCAAAACATTGAGTTGTCCACCTGTCGTATGCCCATCGAAACCGCCCATCATAATTGTGCCACACCAAGGCGCCCTGTATTGAGAAACGTACAAATGCGAGTGGGCAAGTTGGAAGCTCCAGCTAAGGGACACGCATGAAAAGTGTTGTACAGGAGAGGGTCGAGGACGTTCGGGGGTACGGCGGCAGTACCGGGCACTTTGCCGTGTTTTAGATCGAGAAGTACGGCGATCGGAGCTACAAGGTCGGGTGCTGCAGGGAGCCACAGAGGATTTGCGACCTGTGATAGCTCTGGCACCACCAAAGTGGTGCAACTTGTCAGGCGAAGCACGACGATCAGCCAATGCAAGCCTGACAGGTTTTCGTTCTTGATAGAAAGGAACGACAGCGAAACGCCAGGTGGAAT